CCCAAATCCCCTACACCCTCACCATCCACCCCACGTACCTCCTCCTCACCCCCCACCTCATCAGCACAACCCACCGCAAATTCCCACCTCTCCCCTCCACGCAACCGCTCCCACACCTCACCTTACAACTCAACTCCTACCTCCCGGACGAGTTCCGTCGGCGGTACAATCGAGAACCGCAGTTCTCCGCGGAATGGGTGGATTTCGGGTACGAAGAGGAGAGCGACGAGATGGTCGTCATGGCCTGGTTGGAGGGCACGGATTATCTCGCGCATTGGGCCTTTGGACGCTTGCTGGAGGGGGATGGGAGACATGCGCTGGAGAGTGGGTGTCCCGAGGAGGAGACCGTCGGGGAGGGCGCGGAGGAGGCGAGGGAGATTTTTGGGGGGATGAGGTGGGAGTTGGCGGCGCAGGGGAATGCGTCTTAGGTGTTTGAGTGAGGGGGCTGGAGGTGTGAGGGGAGGGAGGGGCGACGGGGNAGGTGGGAGTTGGCGGCGCAGGGGAATGCGTCTTAGGTGTTTGAGTGAGGGGGCTGGAGGTGTGAGGGGAGGGAGGGGCGACGGGGGTTGTTGGTGTTTCGTAATACTGGCTGGCTTCTGAATAATGATAATAGAAAAGATAACACTATTCCTACTTCCCTCTAAGGATCGTCCTTTGATTATCACATACCTACCGTTAACTATCTTATTATCTTATAAACCGTTGATTCCAACGATGATCATCACTACTAAAATCTTTACCTCACAATCTACCTCTAAGTTAAATCTAATATAATCCTTACTATATCGAAGAGCCTTTTTCCTTCTTTCTTTCTTTTAATTCGTGCTTTCTAATATCCACCCTACCTACGTTCTTAAGAGCGTAATACACTAAAGTCTAAAGTACTCCATAGTAAACGTAACATAGCCTAGCGTGAAAGAACCGCTATATTAACCCGTTCTATATTCCTAGCCAAAGTTCGGCACATAGAACCATTCCATTCCATCGATCAGTCTCTGGAATTCCAGAACTTCTATGGAATACCACTTAATTATCCCGAACGGACGCTAGTGTCCCTAGTGAATAGTGAGTGAATAGCAAACACCTTAGCTTATATTTGCATTACAAGACTAGGAGGAACGAACGTACTTATTTGATGCCTCGAAGACTTTTGTGTTTATAGTTAGTGGGAAATTAAGCGAGGGGAGTTGGGGGGCTACAGTTATACGAGAGAAGTGGTCGTAATAGTGAGTACAAGCCCTCTACCAAAGATGATAATGTACAAGTTGAGGTCATTTATTACATCTCGTAACGCCTCAAAAAAAAGTCCTTGGTAGCTGCCCTTCTTTAGATGCTCAAAGTTGGCTGCCTTCCGGTGTGTCTGCCCAAAAACGTAGCTGCGCTTGTCCACCAATTTTCAGTTTCCTCGTCACACATATCACGGAGAGAGAACAGGCTTCCACTTGTCGAGGATGAACTAGGAGTGTGTTGAATGGCTCGTCACCCACGAAGTTAAGCCGCGTCTCACTGCCGACATATGTAGGCGACACCAGGGTCCCAAAAGAAATACAAAACCAGTCCCAAAAAATTGCAAAAACTTAATTACCAAACGTCCGTGAAGATGTGGTGGACCTTAAGAAACTCAGACACTATTTCCAGCCGGTTTTTTGCTCCGAGAGGCCGCGGGGTCACAATTTTAAGCCTTGTCATCGGCGCTTTCCCAGTTGTATTGCGAACCTGGTTAGGGTTGAATACGAGAACTGGATGTCTTATTTGTGGTTATGAGGGAAAACTTCGGGAGTGGGGAGGGTGTGTGGTTATGGCAACGCTCATTGGGCTGTTGAGGGTATTGCGGCAAGACGGCTTGGCTTCACTTTAACCTATCTTCAGTATTTACCACTTGCTAGTGCGTCTGAGCTGGTCTTGAGGTACCTGGGCGAAGACTTTTCAACTCTACAGAAGATTGGTAGCTGAAATATACGATGTGTAGAAAGATGGAACGCTCGTGGTATCCTGGTTGAGGCATTTCCAGCGTGGCTCTTACCTTCTTTTACTTAACCTTATCTCCTAACTTGATCACTTGGGCTTTGCGAAGTCTGCTAGGTGATTATTGAGCTCCAGGTCGCTCCTTCTCTCTCAAGTTTTCTAGAATCGTCCTGTCTCAGGTGGAGACTTGGAAGCGACGAGACTAAAGAGACTCAACACGGCGTCGAAGTCGGAAAACTGGAAGTATCAAGGTCCTACCTTCCCTAATGACCTCGATGTGACTAGATAACTTGGTCGGTTTGGCCTCTGTTGGACCACGACTTCGATCGCAAGCTTGTGCCACCTCGAGTTCGCGAAGAGTCTGTAAGTTGAAGCTGTCTGCCTCCGTGAGGCGAGCATCGCACTGCGGCTCACCAGAAGGCATTGCCTGGATTGAATGCTCTCATCCATGCTTCTGTTATATGTTTTTTTTCTACCACTCTTGTAAGCTTCGAGATAACAGTTGTCATTGGGATGATGTGGTAAGAAGGGGGTGTAAGATAGGCCGCTTGAGATAAGGTTTCTGGCTCGCCAACGATTGAATACAACGTTTTCTAAAGAATCTGAACTGTGATGGTACAGCAACACAGCCACTAATACTATGGTCTCGTTACCGTTGATCTCGTATGGAGGATGTGGTAAGTTCAAGATATTGCCTTTCAGTGCGAAATGTGCATATGGATCAACTGTTGGCAGGTTGTTTGGACAGTCTGATCAGCAAGGACTAACCAATCAAGCAGAATTTCAAGAAAGATCACGGGTGGGTCACTCAAAGAGCAGGTGCTTACTGCTCACAATCGCAGCTGCTTCAATCGTAATAAAATGAATTCTGCACAAATTTATTTCCTCTTATCAAAATATGGATGACTTCATAAGAACAAACTTCCTATCCCTCATATCCATGCCCAATTCAACCCCCCCTTTCTTTCTCCTGGTATTTCTGCAATTCCATCATCTCTTTCTGACGCTCACGCAATTTTACAATTTCATCATTTTTCGCCTTGATCTCCGCCGCCCATTTATCATTCGCTGTCCTCTCAATACCTCTAACCTCCGCCTCCAACCTCTTCACCTTTTTTTTCGCGCGTTCCAACTCAGCTTTCTGAATTTGCTGCAACTCCCTGTGTTTCTTATCATTATTCCTATCATTCTCAAGCTCCTTCTTTAAATCCTCAATCCTCTTCTTCATCTTCTTCATCGCAGCCTCATCACTCCCCTCAAAGTCGTCCTTGAGTTTCAAAAGCAACGTCCGCCTTGGATTCCCGTCTGCATCCACGTCGAAGGGCATCGCGCCACGGTATTCTTCGTAAGCAAGTGGTATGTATTTCCCATCTTTCTCAAGTGACGCTTTGGCGAGAGCCATCATCGCCATGTAGTCATCCCTCTTCCCAAAATCTTCGATTTCTTTATTCAAGTCGGCGAATCCCTGAATGGTGTTTTGGATGGCTAGTATATCTTTCTCGTGGATTTCTTTTACAACGCGGTTGTATTCGTCGTGAAGTTCATCCACTGTCATGCCTGTGGTGGTTCTCTTCCTTTCGTTGCTTGTTTGTCCCGCTTCTCTCTGTCCAGCCTGCCCATCTTGTCCCCGCTGTCCCGCGTATGCTCGCTGACCTGCGTATGCTCGCTACCCTGTTCGCTTTCCGGAATCTCTAGGCTATTCTCTCTGTCCTGTTCTCGTTCTTTATCCTTCTTCGCCTCTTCATCCCGTTTGTCTTGTCTAGCCTTTTCCTCCGCGGCTTTCCGCTGTTTTTCCTTGTTTCTTTTAGCCACCAATATTCCAACCTTTAGCTTCTTTTGTCCCTCATTCTCCGTTTCTGTGGTGTCTTGATCTGCCGTTTTCTTGCCTGAAAATCTCCATCCAGACGTCCGCTTTTGCTCTCCAGTTTCCAATGTGTCAAGTACTGGCTTCCCGCCCTTCTCCAGTTGCTCAACCCTTTTCATCCGCCTCCGCATATCTTTTCCATTTGCTTCTTCCTCTGCGTGTTTCATCTCCTCAGAATCCTTCCTATCAAAATCACCAAAATCCCCTTCTTCTTCCCCTTCATCGGAATCCTATCAGAACACCCACTAGCTCACCCCAACCATACATACTTTCCAAGCAAAGAACACAGTAAATACATACCTTCTCCCATTCCTGACTCCTCTTAGACTTGACACTCTCACCACCCGAAGACGGTTTTCTAGGCGGCATATTTCTTTCTTTCGGGGATTTCTCTTCTGAGGTAATTGATGGATTTGATACCGAACTGGGTTCCGTCGATTCAACTTGTGATATGACTGATAGAATTGATGCTAGACTTGATTCCGATGATTCAACTTGTGAATTGACTCTCGAACCTGAACTAGAACTCGGTTCCGGCGTCCCTCTTATCGAATTCTCAGGTGTAGCCTAAACCAATCAGCATTCCCCCTCTCAAAACAATCTCCAAAAACCTGAGCGGTAACGAAATATGGTTTAAGATAGAGTAACCTACAGCAGGAGTATTAAACTTGAAATAATCAAGTCTCTTCTTCCTCGGTCTCCTTGTACATCCAAGTGGAGGCGAGAGTTGTTCACCGTTCGGATTCTAAAGAAGCTAATTAGCATCGCATCTCCCTCTTTTCATTCTCCAGGACTCCAAATCTTCCCAGCTCCACAAGAGAAATGGAAAGGAAGCAGAAGTGAGGGAGTTCCACATACATTTTCAGTGCAGCCCTCGTCAATCTCGGTGGCATAACATCCAGAGCCCACGCCCGTAAAAGATCTCGCAAGCAATTGACTTTCAATTTCACTTCAAACCTCAACTTCTAACCAAAGCAAAGCAAAGCGCAGTAAAATCTTCACAAAAAGGGATTCCTTTACAACCAAAAAAATATAGGTCATGACAAGTATAACAGCCAAACAAGAAGAACAAAGAACACCCCGAGGAATGAATGAAAGCAGCCAATCCAGTAATCACCCAACAACGAAGACAATCCCAGGTTCTGTAACAAAGCTATTCTCTACATACTTTCAGGTCAGCTTACTGAGCGAGCGAGAAAGGTCACGACTCACGAGGGAAGGAGAAGGTTGCCGGAGGAAAAAACGCCACCTCATTTTGAGGAATGAATGAAAACGGCGATTTACGCAAAAGTTAAAACCCGAGGAGCCCAACCTCAAAACAGTAAATTTCAATTATTTAATCAAATAGGTATAATACATCAATAAGCTACTCTCCCCCTCTTCCACAAACCGGCAATCAAAAAGAGAATAGTACACATAAACATATATCTATCACACATCCCAACATCAAAGCATAAGAACCATAAAAAAGGTAACACAACAGGGAAGGTCAAAAGAAAGAAAACCCAACATAATGGGGTATGGGCAGTATATTAACAAAAGTAAAAGCTGTATTTTTCTCCTCTCGAATGCCAGCCACATCTCAGAAAGTCCTCCCGTCGCCACTCAAAATGCATGCCCGCTCATCGCTAAAAGCAAAATCTCTCCCTCCCTTGAAGAAAAAAAGTTCAGCCAGGATGCTTATTATTAACAAATTATCTGTGCCTCGTAGAAGAGTAATGGACATGAAACGAAAAAAAAGGAAAAGTTTGTCGGAGGGGGTATCAAAAACAACCAGAAAACGAAGCCACACCAAAAAATACGCCCAGAAAGACAACAATCAGAGTCGCGATTCGTGTTGTCATAGGGAGAAAGATGCCCCAAAGTCGTCGTCGTTGAAAAATAACAAATAAAAGAACACAAGAAAGTAGAGGAACTAGATAGCTCCTTCGTCGCCCTCGAGCACACGTCTAGCGGCATATAATCTTCGTCTCCAAACACGTGAGTCATAACTACCCGGTGCTGCCTCTTGAAGACCGAGTACACACTTCCCAAGACTAGCAACGAGTCTCTCAACTAGGACTTGGTCGTCTCGAGCAAGCATGTGAACGGAAGATGTTTGTACACGTTCCTCGTCCATGGAGCTCTGTCTATCGATGAGCGTAGAATCGCTAGTGAGAACTGAGCTCTTTGATTCGCCGGAACCCCTCAACCCCAATCCTATTCCAAGTCCATGGACCATAGGTTGTTCTGGCATCTTGGGTGGATTCACAAGGGGGAAGCTTCTTCTTGTTCCAGCTGATGAGCAAGAATTTACAGATGAGACAGAAGGCCGGTGACCACCGGTTCCATTTCGCTCAACCACATTGTGGTTTGAGATCTTCTCATCCAGAGCGATTGCATGAGATCTCTCCAACTTGGGTGACTCTGGTATGTCTTCAGGAAATTGAAGACCCTCCTGCGTGGCTCCAAAGGTTGAACGTTTAGTAAGGGGGGGTGTCGGTAGCCGTGTAATAGTAGCATTGGAGTGGCGCACGGCATACTCGTCTTCATCTTCACTATGATTCCCAGAGCGATCCTCATCGGAGCTGTTGCTCTCTGCTGCGGTTGCGAAACTCTCCATCGTTGAAATTGATCCCTTACTCTCAGATCTGAGATGAGTGAAGGACGCTCTGGGGTTGAAATTCTCCCCATTTGCCTGATGTGAGTCTTGCATTGCACGAGTGGTTTCAACTGAATCATCCGAACTAAAACTTCCAAGAGTGCCACTACGTTTTCTCCCCTGTTGGCCTATTGTGCCCATAGCACTGTGCAAAAAGAAGTGTTCGTAATCAAAGGCATCCTCACGGTCTTCATGGGAGATTGGGACATCTGAACTGTCGTGGTAAGCAGAAGAGTCGCTCTCATAACCAGCTCCGTCCACGCTAACAATCTCGTCATTGTAATATTCGCTCTCTTCCTGGTATTCACTCTCCAGAAATGTGTAATCTTGGCCAGACTCTATATCCTCATTCCGAATTTGAGGTTCGTGTGAGCGTTTGGGGACCTCCGAAAATTGCTGTATATCAGAGACATCCTCGTAGACACTAGTCACATCTGATCCTTCAAAGTCTTGTGGTTGGGGGGAGTTCTTCGGGCTAGTGGAATCAATCCTTGGACTCAATTGCGTCACGTTTGTGTTTTCCTCTTCTTTCCACACAGGTGACATCCCACTACTCAGAGGAGATAATCCAGCGTCAGCACTCAGGGGATCTTCGCCGTATCCACTAGCATTGGTATACCACTGCTCGGCGGCTGTAAACGGACTGGGAGTCCTCAAACTTTGGAGACTTCTTCGTTTCATGGTATCGTCTCTGGCGCGGTCTCGCAAAACTGATAGTCTCCCCTTCAGATCTTGCATTTGACCTCTGAGGTCTCGCATTTGTGTAGAAGATGTAGACCGACTTAATTGGTGGTCGCCGCTAGGAGTAACGAATTCATCCTGACTACTTGATGTTGCACTTCCTCTATCAAATTCTTCATTTGCTACGTCTTCATTTAGAGGCTCGAGAATGACAGGATGGGGTGGCGAATGTCGGCTAAGTGAAGATGCAGCAAATGCAGCTTCTTCACGGAGAGATTCGTAGCTTTGAGACATTCCAAGTCTCCGATGACTATCCATATGTTTGTTGGGAATGTACCGCGCTGCCGCACTCGCTGATCGGACTGGGAATCGACCTTTGCCCATCGGCGAAACAATTGAATTCTCGCTATATACTCTCGAATGTCCTGGCGTTCCCACGGGAGAATCTATCGGGGTATGCAATTGCCGATGCCTCGAGGGACTTGGAAGACCATTATCAAGAGGCGAAGGAGCAGTTCTGAATAATGGACTGCTACTGTTTATCGAAGACATAGATCGAGCAGGTGTCAAGAGAGAGGTTCGGGCTCGATTTAGGTTTCCCTCCATACTCTAATTTCATTAGCAAGAGATTCCGGTCGGCTGAAAAGAACTAGACTCACCGTTAAGCGTTTTTTTGCATTCAGCAGAATTTCTTCCGCACGCCGGGCACTCATTTCTATCTCCTCCTCGTCTTCCTCTCCAATCTTGCTCGCTTTTCTCGACAAGCGCTGGGTTTCCTGTTCGATTACTTCCTCCCTATACGGATCCCTATACGAATCGGCCACACTTTCTTCGTCATCTCCTTGAAAATTGCTGTCGTCCACGCTAACTCCATCGTCGAAGTCTTCGAAATATTCCGCAGAATGCCCTATTGACATAACTGTGCTGGTAGACTCTACGGAAAGGCTCCGCTGATGATTTCTCTTCCTCGTTTTCCCTGACGCGGAATGGTGCCCTGGAGCGGGGTTCGACCCAATCGACATATGCTGAGATTGCGCCTGTTGTTTCAACAATCTCCTTTCCGCTGGCCCGGGAAGCTTTTTGTTGCGCCCAGGTGTTGTCTCGGCCTCCGTCACTTCTCCAATATCAGACAACATCGTCCCATTACCATATATTATTTGAGTTGTCGGTGTCCCGGGGCCCATATGTGGTGGGCTGCTCAAGGAGTAGTTATCATCGGTGGGGTCTCTCCATTCGTTGGACGCAGAGAAGGCATTTCGAAGAGGGGAAGGATTGGAGTCGTACTCTCCATCATCGTATGGAAGGATCATGTCAGGATTCGTCAAAGCCGGAGAGGCTGGCCGTTCGGAAGTTGGAGAAAGCATTGTCGCAGTGGTACTACCTGCTTGCATCTGCATGTTTCCGTGTTGGCACAGGCCGAAGTGCGACTCCTCGCTTTATAATCGTTCGTTCGTTCGTTTGTGTGGACTTTAAGGTTCGAGCGAATGCAGATACCCGTTGCGACTAACGCTTCCACTCCGTCGGATGCTCCGCCAAAATCGCGTCTGGTTGTTGCACTGGGAGGATTATTGCCAGGTGGTTGATCCTCTTGTAACCTAATCAAATACGGGGTTGCTGTGTGACAATGGATGAGGTTACAACTGCGACAGCTGAACGAATGAAGCCGACGCGAGCGACGTGTTGGGGAGGGGATGAGGTGAATGGCTGTGGATAAGAATACTTGTCGTACTGTTCTGTGGGGTAGGATGGAAATCGCATAGGAGCATGGCTATGCTGGCAGAAGGGTCATGCCAACAACGTGGGTTGGAGTTCCTTGGTGGTGATGTGGTGGGCGAGTTTGAGAGAGAGACAGTAGTGACTTGCTCACTTGCTCCTCCAGGAGATTTTTCGCGATACCGATGCGGAGCGAATGGGATTGCGGCAAGCAACGGAGAAAAAAAAAGGAAGGTTCAAGGCACAAGGCACAGATTCGCTTGACACCAAGCTACTTCGCACAGTAGAGAGCTCGCCTCGCTCGCCTCCTTTTTGAGTTTCGTTCCGCTCCAAAGGATGGCCTGCCGTTGAAGAGTACCTCAATTAGCAGGGAGTTGGTGAGTAATAAGATTCGAGAAACCGACAAACTGCCACTCGTCCAATGGTTCCTCGAATCCTCAGGCAAGTTAGCGAGTTAGGTTCCTGGTCCTGCATTGACCTTGAAATCCTGCGAGCCGAAGCTGGGATGTGGTGGAATGTGAGTCTATCAGTGTCACCGTTGATGGACAAGGGAACGATGCGAACATAGATACGCAGCCTATCGGAGCCTTCTGATGTTTGGGAGACTCCACCATTTCACTTTAAATCATTGCGCTATGATCACTATGGAGCCCCTAATCTGCCAGGTGGACTAGGTACTGGGACTGTGGAGGAGATTTCCGGATTCCCAGTGCAGGGTTCAACGGCTCCCTCCACCAAAAAAAGGTTCACAATTTCTTGTGCAAAGGTTCCCCTCTAAATTATTGTTCACGTCTCTACAAGTACCCAAGAAATTCGTCAGCAATCATAGGTGTTTGACACTCATCACATCTCGCTTGGAAGTTGTCGCTTAATCCAGGAACTTTGGATGGCATGAAAAGACGGGGAAATGCAGCTTCAACCAGGTGGCCGGCATGCTGACACCCATCCCCATGGGGCGGATTATTAAATTATTCACCCAACACATGGCTCTCGTTTTTAATCTGCGACAGAACAGATCTGGGAAATGTGTGCATAGGAAACCTTTGCAAGACACTTCTGTGACCGTCTTACTTCGTAACCGTGATATCTCACCTCCTCTTTTGAGATTCCCGAGTCCCGGGAGTTCTTCCACGCCGCCTGACGTTTCTTTAGCACAGACGGCTAAGGCGGGGCTTTTAAGAAACATTTTTTGGGCCCGTTTCAAAAAGACTTACTCCGAGCGTGTTCGTGTTTATGTACTCAAGCCCAATATCAGTAAGCTAACCCGCAGGTGGGCACGGCAAGAGCTCTTGTTCTTTTTCTTTCCACACGAATAACAAGAACTTGTGTCATAATTCCACGGTCTATCGGGCTCAGGATATTTCCGCCTCATATATCGTACAAGATAAAAAAAACAAAGGTCAAAAACTAGATTTCTGACATGTCAACCTTTTGAATCGTTCTGGAATGTCGGAACAATTGCTCAGACTCTACCAGAAAGTCGGGAAAACGACACGTACGAATTGAAGTGTTTACTGTTTTGTAACAAGTCGTTACGAGGTTACTCACTTTAAGGATATAAACGGTGTCTGCTGCACCGTATCAGTTAGATCCAAAAGACTCCATGGCTGCCATACGAGAACTCGAGAATATATTATATCCAATGCCTCTACTGCAATGGCGTTCTCATCTAAATTTATATTTGAAAACCAGGTGGAGAACAGTGTTAGTTTGACTCTATTGAGCCAGACAAGGTAAGTGTATAATGTAAAGGTAATAGCTATCACATTCAATAATAAATACTAGATGTGTACACTGAGTAAAGGCTTGCAGTACTCAGTACTCGCTATGTAATCCAGTAGACATCAAGAGCTAATCGCTAGCTTTGTCACGTGCATTGAATATATATTCATCCAGGCGCCGCGGACATAAAAGGTGTCCGCAACGAAGTTCTGGCCAAACAAAGCATTTAGTATTGTGGGGCTACTTTACGGAGTTGTTTCGTTAAACGCTCAGCTATTGGCAGCAAACAAATCTATCCCATCCTAGTGTTTGCAGAGACCTATTCAACATCTCGGGGTAAGAGTCATTCGCTAAGTACGGGGTACAGTAACGGAGTAGCTAACAAATATGTACTCCGAAATTTATCCATGAGAGAACATTATATATAGAGAGGCTCAAGTGGCATGATGATAACCATGTGAACAAGATTCCGAGAAGCTGTGCTTGAAACTTCATTGTTCACCCCATTCATCTCATTCGCTCTATTACTCTCACTCTCTTTTACAGTGACAAGCGAGCCATCAATACATCAACACATCATCAAATCAACAGACCCACCTCAAACCTCCCAAAACCCTCTCAATTCAAAAATTCATATACACTCACCACCATCAAACTCAATCCCTCACCCAAGTTCCAACATGTCCCAACAATACACCCTCTACCCCCTACTCCCCCACGACACACCAGCACTCTACCCCATCTACAGCGCCGCCTTCTCACCAACCCCCTTCTACACCCTCGTCTTCCCCCCTTCCATCCCCGCTTCCACAATGTATAGCTGGTACACAAGACGCATCTCACTTCAGCTCCAGAAACCCCAAGTTCGAGGTTTCAAGATCGTAACCGCAGAGAATGAAATAGTAGCTTTCGCGCGGTGGAACTTTCCTTATGTCCCTGACACAAGAGAGAAAGAGGGAGAGGTAGAGGGAGAGGGAGATGAAGCACAGAAGGAGGAAAAGAAGGAGAAGGAGGAGACGGAGGATGATTGGCCACCCGGCACGAATCTCACATTGACGACTGCGAAATTTGGGGGTTTGGATGGGATGAGAGAGGAATGGGTTGATCCGACAAGGGATTATGGTATATTATCCTTTTTTACACATCCTTTGCCCCCAATAAAATGAACCCAAGATTCCAAAGCTAAATCTCCCTCTCCAAAAAAAAAAGTCTGCGCCCTCCTAGCAGTACACCCCACGCACCAAAGAAAAAGCCTCGGAAAAAGACTCCTGCAACACGTCCTCAATCTGGCGGATGCGGAGGGAAGAAGAGTGTACATCGAAGCTACCGATGCTGGGTATCCCGTGAGTCTGTTTTTGTTTTTTTAGTTGTCTTATGTTGAGAATTTGAGTTGGCGGGCTTCGAGCTGCTGTGGATTAAAGAGAGAAATGTAAGTTGACGTATGACAGTTATACAAGAAATTGGGATTCGAACAGGTGGATGTACTTCCTATAGATATGAGAAAATGGGGCGTGGAGGGGTTGGGGTCAAACATAATTATGATCAGAGAACCTGTGCTGAAATCATAAGACGCGCGAGGTTGAAAATTTGAGTTACCGAGAAAATGAAATTGGTAGGAAACTCATCAATGGTTGCAAAAATAGATGACATTCACATTTTGATACACTTATCATCCCCATCAGCGAAACATAAAACCCCATAATTCGTGAGAACGTGCTGCGTTTTATTCTTGCTCGAGACTATTACCTACGTAACTCAGGAGAGTTGCATTTAGGCTAAGCACTGAAAATGTCCTGGTCCGAAAAAAAAGTAGTCCCTCGACGTGAGACAGCCACGGTTGCAAGAGGTTCATTCAGATCTTCTCGCTACCTAACATGCAAAGTAATCCCAATATGCTCCCCCAAACAATCATGTAAGTAGGAAAATTCGTGTCGAAACGCTCAGGACTCCTCAACGACGTTACCCTTCTCCGAAACATAGAGACCGTCCAAGAACTACCGCATATTAGTTTTTGTAATTTCACGAGGCCTTCCGATTAAATCCTTACCTTTCTGATATCCTTGTTTCGTACTCTGCAGATTTGTTGGATATCCGCCGCGCTTTGTGATACGTTCTCGAGGGAGTTGCCGAACAACTGGAGCTCATCCTTCTGGTTCTTTGATGCCTCGACCTCAACACCCTCGTGCATGATGACTTTTCGGACGATCTTCTCACCGATAAAGTTTCTAAGCAATACATTATTAGCACATCGATCTCGGGAACCCCTCTTCTATAATTTCTTCCATCCAGCCATTACCACCTCCCTCCATAATCGCCATTCCCCGCCATATAACAATTCTGGACGTACCGGATCTCGACCTCGTAAAGACCGGTCTCCTTGTTCAAGTCGACGTTGACGTTAATTGGGAAATGTGCGTAGACGTATCGCATCTTGTACTTGAATCCCTTTGTTACACCAATGATCATGTTGTTGATGAGAGTTCGGACTGTGCGGAGGGTAGCGACGTTCTTTCGGGCACCGTGGTGAAGCTCGATGTTGATGACATCCTTCTTTGGGGTGGAGAAGTTGACTGTATTCGCGTCAGAAGATACTCTGTGAGATTTGAACTCGCGATAATTTATTACCTGCCAAATGTGAAAGGTCCTTCTTGAGTGTGCCTGCAATTCCTCGTCAGCCCTTCCTCCTTCAATTTCTGCGCAGAATTATAACGAACCTCTTGGTCCGGTGACGGTGACTTGTCGAGACTTGATGGTGACCTTGACTGTTGGTGCGAGTTAGCAATTGCCTTCTTTCCTTCCCCTCCACCAATTTGCGCCCGGCGAACTTCGCCACGAAGCCGCTGGAATCGCAATTCTCTTACCCTCTTCTGGGACCGTCAAGGTCTCTTCACTGTGAATGTATCTCATGGCTGTCGGCGAAAAAACCTTTTGTCGTTCTTTTGCTGGAAGAGATTGGGCGTTGCGATCGACCGCGATATTTTTGAATATCGAACTTGGAAATGTGCGGTCCACTAGCGAGAAGTTCCCGGCCCCGGCACCCGATCCCCGATATTCACGTGAGCGCTCCTCTTATCTTCGACGACCGAACTTGCATCATTTTCAAAGTTATCTCAAGTACTTTCCATTCCACCCACATTTGATAAATGCCCTATTCCTATCACCATATCACTTCATTTTATTTTAAATTCTTACACAAGACAAAGGCAGGAAGACTTCATTCGTTCGTTGCTCTGAACACAACTCTTCATACGATCTACAAAAATTCAAGGCACGGAGTGAACTTCTCAGTATGAATTAACCTACAGAAGGAATTTCAATTCATACACACAGTTACCAAAGATGATCTATCTCATGCTCACTGGACTAGTTCCTTTTATTTTACCCACTGAAATTTATATCTCACTTTGAGGATAGGCAACCAACTGATTACCTAGTAGTATAACAGCTGTCCTGCCAAGCCCTACAACTATAAGGATACCAATAACGCAAAGACATGCATCCAACAACAACCAAGGTCTCAATGGCTTATAGTTGGTTTGTGGATACAACGTGATCGGTCTGTCACCCTTTTCAAGATTGAGAAATGGTTCTCTTATTGGGTTACGATCAGAAAGGTCTACGTTAAAATTCGGCACAGTTCTTCGAAGCTGCGTCGTCTTTTTGCTCATCTTTTTTCTTTTTTTGGAACCCTTCTTAGTATATCATGTGGTTTGAGGGTTCTGGTGCAGTACCTAGGTGGGTTCTAGGTACTATACAGTGAATCCTTCCGATGACTATTCTCTTTACTAACTCCTCAAACCTCTCTCTCAGCATAACTCTTAACCATTCCCTCCAGCGTGGGTTCATATTCCACCAGCTCCACCTTCTCCCCCTTCAACACCGTATTGGCCTGCACAAAAACCTTCCTAGGCTGCTTATTCCTTAAGACCTCATTGCGAATCTTCTGTCCCCAGAACTCTGGCTCCACCTCCGTCATATAATTATAGAATTTAGTTCCCGTCTCTACATCGGCCGTGGACTTATACACATGCAGTTTTTGCAGATAAGCCTCAACAGCTTTGCGTCCAGCAGTGAGAATCTTGCTACGATCGATCTTAATGGTTAGGTCCGAGAGATCCTCGTTTTTGTAATCGAGCTCGCAGAATTTCTCAGAGGATTCGAGAAAGCACTTTAGGATGGAGAAACGTGCTTGGGAATGTGCTTGACCCCATTTGCGGCTTTTGGGGTCCCACATCTCTAGAGAGGCAATACCAGCTCGAGCCATCGAGAGGTATGATGCGTAAAGAACATCACCCGCCTCGTTATCCATATCGGTCTTTCCATCACCAAAGCCGAAAATCTTGAGGATTTCGAAGTCGCAGCTCAGTGCCATTGCAACACACTCTGCGCGGCACTCTTCATAACTTGAAGCGATACTACCGAAAACTGATCCCCAAGTTTCTCCTGGTTTGTAGTATGTGGTGATTGGCTTGTTGGTGATAGGGCTGATAGGCGGGTTTGATTGGTCAAAGTTAAATGTGCCTGGAGCAGTCTCCTGTAGTAATTTACCAGTTCCATGTCCTAGAAGCTCGTGAATTCCAACCTGAACCTCGAAAGCTGGATCACGATACTTCTGATAGACTTCGAGATCTGCTTCAGAAATGAATGGAATCTTCTCATTTGGTGCCTTGGCGCTGAGGACATTACCAAGCGAGACGTTCTTGAATCCCTCGGTTTGTCGGATGTCATCGTAGTTTGGCTATTGTAGGCGTTAACAATGGCAAATGTCTATTTAGAGGTTATGGACCAGGAGGGTAGCTTACAATGTTAATGCCAGCAGGGATACCAGAGCCAGCAAAAGATAAAACTTCCAAGGATGTAAAGTCGGGGCTCAAAAATTCGTCCTTCTCAAACTCTGTAGACCAGGGTAACTTTGGAATCATAGACGCCGCAGCAGCAACAAGGGCCCCAAAAGCGCGGGTACGCTCGAGGTTAACTGTGGCAGCGAAACCTTCCCACTCCCCTCTAACTCCATGCGGGTCTCGGTACGTCTCGACAAATCCAATGTTGGATTCAACCATTGGTCCCTTGTCACGAATCCAGAATCTTTGACTGTTCTTGAAAGCCTCTAGCGAGCCCTCTTCAAATGACTTGGCATAGGCAAGTTGCATGTTCTTTTGGTTCTCGTTGGCTGCGTTTTCTGCAGCTTTCTTGTGGAAGTCTGTGATAATCTTCATCTCCTTGGAGTCTAAAAAGTCTCAGCGTCAATAAATTTGATACCAATCGATAGGTAAATAAATAACAAGTCAACTTACGGTCACCATACACTAATCGAAGCTTCTGACCACCCTCAAGCTCAAATTCGATTTCTTTGCCAATATCACCTCCGGCGGCAGGTACTTCCGTAACAGCAGAAGCAATCAGAAGGTCAAAGCTACCATCTGAGTTCTTTCTCAGCCGAGTATTTTCCTGTCATACATCAGCACCACATTTCGGTATTCCAACGACAACAATGGTTCCAGGGAATATCAGACTTACAACGAGAAGACCCTTCTTCTCCATCCACTTTGAAACATTCGTAAAATCCACCTTCGTAATACCCTTCGAATCCGGATAATACGTCGTCATATGTCCAGACTCAGGATATCCTAAATGCATAATGCCCTCATTGTTGCTCGCGAAGATTGCTCCTTTCGTAGCCTTATAATGCTTTTCTGCCTCTGGATCAACCGAAGCTAAAGCATCAAAAGCCTTCTCCTCACACCTAGGAACGAACTTCGAATCTCCAAATCCCTTGTAGTTCCCACAGTTGCCCAAGAATTGGGCAGAGTACTCCAGGAAATGCTGAAGGTCCTCATCACTGATGTCTGCTTTTTGCTGAATGGCTTTCCAATCGCCATTGGTGCTTTTGTAGAGCGAGATTATGAAGTCGAAGATGCTTTCCGATTCGGGGGAGACTTGACGGAGGGTGATCCTGGTTCCAGTGAAGGCTGATCTAGAAGGTTGTTAGTGGATGTTTAAACTTTTGAGGATCTGTAGAGTATTTACCTGCTGATATAATGTGCATACCGAGCTTCTTGGTCTGACAAGGCATCGAAATGGGGCTTGATTGCCAGGTTAACAGTACTAGGCGGAGAACTAAGGAAACATTAGCTAGGGACTTTGAAAGGGGGGGCATAGAAAGGGCCAGAAATACGTACTCCGCAAGGTAATTCTTCAACTCTGCGGTGTTCATTGTGAGGAATCTGTATTGAGGCAGCCGTTTCAAAGTAGAGAGGGGCTTTAGCTTAATACGCAGAAGAGGGGCAATGTTATATGAGGGGCGGTTGCAGTAAGCTCTGTGGTTGACGCGGGGTTGTGTTGCAGGCAGCGGGGTCAGCCAATGGGACGTAGCCTTGCAGGTGACGGCTCCCCTCGGAATCCTCGAGCCCCATTTTATCATTTCAAGACTATTTGCCTGACTATCCACCTAGTTACCTATAAAGCAAATGGTAATCTGGAGCTCAAGGGTTCCAAATTATGACGTGACGTTGTTGCTAGCAGTTCTCAAGCCCCTATTTCTTCACACGGACCACGTTCAAACCCAACTTGGGAAACTTGAACTTTTGTTTTTCTAGCAGTCCATAAACACGCGATTTTTAATAATAGTACACATATAGAATTACGTCTCAGCCGAGATTAAAATTGCAATTTATAGCTACCACAAAACTTAAAAGAGCTACTGGACTTTCGATTGGTATTTTTATGTTGGACAATCAATATCTCACTTTATGATTAACCTGGCAAGCTTGAAACCCCCAGAAGCATATAAAAATGTCACAATAATTGAAGGTATGAATGAGGTTGTACTTGTGAACTTTCGGGCTTGAATTCTCGAAGAGACGAATTCCATTTGGGATTTGTATAACGTAGCCATAACCCCTCAGCATAAATCATACCGAAAATGATATTCGCTTTTGCCAAACCACACCAATCCTTCCAATAAATCCAGAACCTGAACTGAATCTCGAATTCCAGGAATCAAGCTCTCGAAATTGCTGGTTAGTCTCCATGAGGTTCCACACACTAATATCCATGCAGTCCAATTTTTTGCTTTGTGAGTTTGTTCGTTATTTGCAAATCTGAATTACAAAGCGCCTAAGCAGTCATGACCATATGCCCCCGAGGTCAAAAAAATGCAAGCCCATGTCCCACATTCGCTGTTTCACGCCTAAACCATCCCAACCATTTACCAAACCATCTCGTGTGGTCGGTCACCCTTTCGCAGGCTGAAAGTAGATCCGAGGTAACTGATGAGATATGGTTCCTTCTTGAGTGTGGCAAGGAGAGCCTTATCGACTGCCTTTTGGTCCGCGGCGCGGCTGCTAGATGGCTTCTTCTTCTATTTGCATTATTAGCCCCTGTTTCCTCATATAACCTTCCATTTTTCAATCCTTACCTCTGGCTTCTCTCCTTGCTTGAAGAATGCCTCCTCACCCTTCTTTTTCTCACCCTTCTCTGCAGCGAAGTACTTCTCGCCGGAGACCTCTTCGACCTTGGCGGAATCGATACCGGACAAATCAACTTTGTATGAGGTGGCGATAACGTAACGAGCGTTGACTCTTCGGAGAGGAACACCGTTAACCTTGAATGGACCAGTAACGAGGAGGACACCCTGGGGAAGGTTCTTTAGGAGGATGACACGCTTGCCGCGGAATCGACCAGCGAGGAGGATGAGGACAGCGCCAGGAGTGAGGGTGGAGCGAGGGGTGGTAGCGCGAATGGACTTTCGGACCTGAGAGCGCAATCAATTAGCATTCCATTTCTCTCCAAGATTGACCGATCCATGGTATGCCGCATTGTCCCATATTCCAGCGATTGACCAAATTAACAAAACAGCTGTCGCGCAAACGGTATTTCTGGCAATTTCCTCGCGATTCCGATCCCATAGCTGGCGTATAATTCTCGAGGGTGTTGGGGGCAGACCAACCTTCTTGTTTTGTGGCTCATCCGTGGCGGGATACCATTTTGAGGCCTTCTGGGAAGCAGCTGGAATGGTTCTCTCAGCCTTTCCGAACTTCTTGGTGGTAGACTCGTTTGTCGACATTTTGGCGGCACCGTTTTCGACGTGGGTTGTTGTCGATTGTCGTTGATATAATTGAGGTCGAGAACGGAAAATCCATTTGTGGGAGACTCTCGCTTGTAGGCAAGGAAGGGAAAAGTGGGGCGTGCTCAGATTGCGATAAGGTGTAAAAGCGGCCTCAAGTCTTTTGTAAGTGCCAGCTTCTGACAATTTGTTGAACAACTATTTTGATTTAATAATACATATTATTTTATTGGAAGTAAATACCACATAGGTTAGCAAAATAGTTCTATACGCTTTGTGAAATTCTCACAAGAAGTCATGTCGACTCCAAGGACTCCTTCATGTTCCAAATAACTAGAGCTTCAGGAACCTTCATGCTGCTTTTGAGATACGCCACAGCTCAAGCGTGTTTGCTGATTGGTCCAACTAACGGCGGCATTTAGTGCCTTAGCAATGAGGCTAAAAACTGCTAGTGACCGATTCGCGGTCCGCTGGCGCCTCGCGACTTTCCAAGAAGCACTTTGGAGCTTCAATGTAAAGCCATAGCTTCCAACCCACCAACTCCACGACCAAATCAATCACCACCCTCAATCAAGATGTCCATCTCACCCATAATCACCTTCAAGGCTGGAAGATGCGAACTTGACGTAAGTCATCCAAATAAAAACTACTACATACCCTGGATCAATACTTATACTTCAGATAGCAATCCAGTCAGCCATATAAAGTCAAAGCTGATCCTACACCTGGTTATATCTACCTCTACTCTGAAGATGGTATGTATTTCTCTACTGAAACTCCGTTCAAACTAACAATCCTCAGAGTTGATCCACTTCTGCTGGCGCGAACGTAGCAAATCTATGACCGATGAAGACAACCTCGACCTGGTTATGTTTCCCACCGATGGCCATTTCCAGCCATACTCCCAACCTGATCAGCCTGCCTCCAAGACCAACGGTCGCGTATTCGTCCTAAAGTTTTCCTCCTCCTCCCAAAGACATCTATTCTGGTTGCAGTCAAAGTCACAATCGAGAAATGGTGATGCCAGCTGGTTGAGTCCCCGGGATTTGAAGATTGCGTCAATTGTCGATACCTTATTACAAGGCGAAGAAGTCAACGTTGCCCAAGAGATTGCAACCATTGCTCCCGGTAATGGCAACAATGATGAGGACGAAACCATGGAGGATGTCGAAGGTCATGGAGATTCGGAACGGCCTCAAGGAGGAAGCGGCGGCGCTGGTCCAGGTGCTACTGGTGGAGATATCAGAGAGGAGGGTGCAGGTGCACGGGAAGGAGGAGCAGATGGAGGGCGAGCGTAGGTCATTTTCCATCGCATACCGCATAATAAAAAGCATTTTGACTGGGGACTGTAAAACAAGGCGTTTGGCCGCAATGGGAATTAAACAAGGCGCCATGTACTTCTAGAAAGATGCGATTTCAATGCAGATTGAGAAATTTCTTGTGGACTTTTGCAGCTCGGAACGAGGCTGACTTTGTTGATCAGAGCAGGGTCAGGTCCAACAGACGCTGCTACAGTCGTCCAAAATTTCCTCAATTCCCTGAAGACCGGCGGTCAAGCACAACCATCTCAAGGAAAGGTCTTTACAACACTGCCAGACCTATTGCCTTCGTCTATCACGATACCAACCATTGAATCTGCCTCGCCAAGCCAAATAGACAACCTTCTCAGCTATCTCCCTCCAACCGTACTACTCATTGCACAAGAGTCGGCCGCCTCTTTCGGAATGGCAGAACCAAGTGCAGCGGCCGCAAGCGCAGCATTAGAAGCTCTCAGCCTAGACCAAAAGAAGACGATCCTGAAGCGCGTACTTCGAAGTCCGCAATTCAACCAAAGTTTAGGGAGTCTCACGATGGCGATTCGAGATGGCGGGTTGCCAAGTATCGCTGAGGCTTTGGGCGTCAGATTAGAAAATGGAGGGTTGGTCAGAGGAGGTAATGTTCCTCTTGGAGGAGGTGAGGCAGTGGAAGCATTCGTAGAAGGCGTCAAGAAGACTGTTGAAGATAGCTCATGATTACCACTACCATTGTGAGGGCTGGCTAGCTATGGTCTTTGCTTAGAGCAACGAATGTATGTATGACTAAAAAGACTGCACAGTCTTTGGAAAGTGGCAAGAATTAGAGGCATGAAGTCCATCATGCATAATAGCTCCATCCCATAGATGTATTTTGTCAGACAGAAAACAAGTAGATAATCGCGATTGCGCCATTACATGTAGTGAAATGAACATTAAACAATAGCTTGTAGAAAGAGTATGACCGATCTGCATGTTTTGGACATCTGAATGTGTCACCAGAATTCAAATAAAGTAATGCAATTTATAGCCACTACACCACAATACAATCTGAAACTCTAACGAAAAATAAGGGGCAAAGTTTCATCAATCATAAAGTCACGAGTGTCAGCTCATGGTTCACATCTGTCGCATTTTGTGGATGCGTCGTTTGGTAAGGGTGTCGCCAAGGCCCACTTCCTATTGTGCCCTGCAGTGTCAATAGCAACAAAAACACGCTAAGTTCCTATTGTCAGGAAAATGACAATAGGATCGCTTACCCACCACAACCATATGTTTCGCATGGGTCTATGTATACTTAAACATCTGCCTCCCCTCTGGATCTTATTGATCTTTACTAAAAAAATAAAAATAAAAATTGTCTGTCAGAGTTCAGTTGATTTATTGTCTCACTCTCCCAGAGAATAATCATTGTCAGCAAACTACTCAAAAGTCCCATCCTGTTAAGCGAGCAAGAATTCACTAGAACATATAAACCGACCGCCGTCCCAACCTCTCCCATTTATCCTTCCCCCCGAGATTTATGTCTGATCTCCTTCACCCCTCCAATCTTTCCCTCCAAACAAACAAACCCACGCAACGCGCAAACCGGTCAACCCCTCAAAAAACACTTCACCGACCACAAAAATTCCCTCCTCATACACACTATGAGCAACCCTCACAACCAATCAAACCTGCCATATCCAAACAATCTGACCCTCAACCCAATCAACCACCTCCCACCACCCTACGCCATGGCCCAACAAGCCTACAACATGAACAACATGAACAACATGAACAACATGCCCCGCAACGCACCCTACGACACCGATTCTGACAGGGAGGTAGAAGAAGGAAGCCGCCTCTCCTCCATCAAGCTTACCATCAACACCCCTCTCGTCGTCAAAGGCGATGGAAACCTTGTTCATGTAGACGTCGCCGCCAACGCCTCCAAGGTCGCCATGGCTGTCGTCAGTGCTTTCCGTCAAATCAGTTCTTCGGCTGGTGGTGTCCCAATGATTGATCAGGATGGTCAACCTCGTCCGATCGACATCACTGTCTCTGCGGGTGTTCAAGTTTCTGGCGGCAACAACGTGGTTGGAGAGAAGGCTATCTTGAGCAAGACGGTTGTCGGTGGTGCTATCGTGAAGATCGATCCAGATCAGGAGGGTGGACCAACGGCTGATCCCGTGGGCATCAAGAGAGAAAGAGCTGGTAGCGAGCCATTGGAGATGGATTCAAAGAAGCCTAGACGCAAGTAAGGAACCTCGGGTACACGGTCAGCATTGAAATTTCGGCTTTGCAAGGGCATGGTTTTCAATTGATATCTATGGACTGGACTGTATATGGGCCTTCCCCTCACTTGCAATCTAGATTTAGATTTGAGGGGTAATGGCATTTTTCTTCCGAGATCACCAGAATATAATTTGCGAGTGACTTGCGACCCCTAAGGAACTGGGCAGAAGGTATTGGACGGTAAGACGTTACTGTACTTCCAAAGGATTGTTTTCTGAGCAACCCAGCGTAGCTCTTTCCTGCTAGTGTACAAGGAAACTCACTCATACATATCAATGGATCCTCACTGAATCTATCTTCTGCTTGCTCCCCAACTATGAATCCAAAGGTCAAGTCAAACTCCCCACACGAGAATCCCATGTTCACACGTGATATACGTGATGTACTCCTAAAACTCCAAGATTATCCTCACATCATCTTCGAACAAGAAACAAGAACCGTGCCTTGAAATATACCGATGTTCCATTAAATCATCCTCTATAATCCGAAGCCCGTTTATCTTCCTTGTGCAGATCTTTTGCAAACTTCGGAAGTTTGCGATCGCGTTCGTATAGGAAACCGCAATTATTACAAAGGCTCTGCGGAATTTGTCAACAAAGAATTCAATGTGGAGTGGAAAGATCAAACTTACTCGAGCGCCAAACTGTTCAGGCCCATCCCTAACAGCCCAAACCGCAGTTCCCCAAATTTGACAATGTGCGCATCTCCAGTTCGGGCGGTCATAATCCGTGAGGGAACTCCCTCCACCATATCCAGCAAGACCTCCATCTGGTGTCCCTCTTCCACCAGGTGTACCTGATCTCCCCACTGGACTCAAACTTCTGAATCGACGCTTCTTCTTACTGCGCTCCCCGCGGCCCATGCGCTCTTCGCCATCGTCATACCTGGCCTCTGTAGGTTGAGGTAAACCTCCCATCATTCCAGTATTCGAGGAGAACCTTGCAGTTTCACGTCGTAGTCTTCTAATTCTCCTTTCTCTGTCACCTTCCCTCTTCTCGATCTCCTCCTTGGATAACTGCTCCAATTTTGGTTCCCATTCATCGGCAAGATGCTCATTATCGTATCTCCACCCAGCTTCTGCCCCATGTGCCGCATCATTGGCAATTTCCCCACCGAGCCCGCCTACGAGGCCGCCGTTCTCGCAAGCTTCCTTCTTCAACCTCAATACAGCTTCATAGATGGCATGTGTGATTGCTGGAACCCATTCCCCATATAAACCTAAATCTCCACATGTTTGTTTGGCAAACATTTCCGCCGTGCCAGGTGGGTGGAGCAGTGACCATTCAAACTTGTCCTGATATAAGTTGTTCGATAGATTGACACTTAGGTTGATGGTACAACGATACATGTCATCTGGGTTGAACTCGTCAGAATCGGGAAGGATAGGTGCCGCAGTAGCTGTGACCAACGGAGTATCTAATTTCATAGGTGTAGATGGTCCAATTAATTGACTTGAGCCATTTCGCATTGGTGTCGCGTTTCCACTGCCAGCTGGAGTAGAAGACACATCACGGGAGACAGCTTTGATTGTAGTGACAACACCATTACTGGTTGATGTATGCTGCGCATGGAACAACGGATGAAGCGCAACACCCGCGTACTCCTCTAGCTGCGTTCGAATCTGCTTGCTGATTTCCATAGCATAACGGGGTCGATCGGGAAGATCCAGATCCTGAACCATAACCTGGGCGAACTGATCCGTAGTTGTCAAAGTTTCGTGTAAATTCCACAGGAACATATCCTTCAATCGATATGGCACAGTCGCCTCTCCTGGTCGATAAACTGGGAGGGAGACATCAATCTGTCCGAACGTAGGACCTTGAGGCGGTGGTAGAGCGGCGGGAGGAATGAACTGTGGAATCTCAAGATCAATGCAGATTGGAATCAGCGTGAGAGGCAATGCCGACTGCGCATGATAGTGTATATCTGATTTCGTAAGTCGCGCCTTGCTCATCCAGTCTCTCCAGATTCCCTGGACCTCAACTGGAGTTGAAGTTTCCTTGCCTACTTTCTCTGACGGATCCTGCTTTGCCTGGCCGGAATCATCTCTGCGCAAGCTCCGTAGTCCAGTAGGTCTCCTCCGGCTATCGTCATCGTCGTCGTCGAGATCCTCATATCCATCTTCGGCATAGTTGATGGCAATCGTCCCTCGTTTTGTGGTTCTGGATAATGCGACAGGTAGGCTTGCTTGCGGGATCACAGGTGTGAGCAATGAATTCGCATATGTTCGCAATCGTGGAGCATAGCTTGAGATGAAGGATTGTGGGGGGTTTCCGGTTCTATTAGCCATTGTGACAGCCAATGTATAGCATGTCCGAAATGGCGATTGGTCGGTATCGGCTCGTTGAGGGATGCTGGGGGAGGATGCGCGCAATCGTGCACAGCAAAAGCTCAGGCTTCAGATCAGCCCTCGTCGCATGCTATTCTTGCTGGTTCGTATGCGCTGACCGCAGGGTGTTTTGCGCCAGCAGACTTTCAAAAGTTGGTGTAATTATCTTTCAAGGATTTTCCAATTTAACCTGATGGCCGGTCGCGTTCGCGTTCCGATCGCCCTTCACACTGGAACCCTTGGAAGCCTCAGGCCAACACGCTTACCATATTAGGATTAAAGTAAATATCCCTATCGAGAGCTCGCAAACCAGTCATCCTGTCTTTCTTCTCTAAAGGAATGTCTTATTTATGGAGTATAACTCAGTGACCGACCGCGAATTTTACCGCTGCAATGAATTGGTCTGCTTCGACATCGAGGTCTATGACTGAATTCTTTTTTAGAAGTCCTCCTTCGCCACGAAGCACACCATTTCGTTCTTGAATATAGGTTAGATAAAAAAAATTGATATTAATTCTTTCCCCTCTTGCTATTAGTTTAGCTTGATAACTCCATTCCGTTCCGTATAAAACTTGCTTCATTATAGCTGATTCAGAGTTGCCTGCACATATAACTTTTACTAATGTATAGTGAATTGAAGTCTCCCAATGACTTGCTTCTTTTCACTTGCCCCTCGTCATTATTCTCTTCCAGCATTCATCCAAGGTATGTCGATTCATGAATAATGCGAGCCGTTTTTACACACCTACACATATATATTCCTTGGCTACCTGCTGTCGTCCTTGTAATCTTTTGTCACCAAAACAAACCTCCACGAAATTCTATTCTTCTTTTTTCAACATTACGAAAACCATCTGCAATAACCGCTTCGCTTGTACTCGCTTCGCTACCTCTTTGGTGTTTGGTAGTAGGCAGCAAACAACATAAGTCAGGAAATCAAATCTCGAAGTCCAGTATTTCAGGCTACGAATCCGCCTACTGAAGACCATCAGACCCCTCAAGACGAAGAAGGCTCTCTAAATGCGAGAGCCAATAAGGAGCTTAAAGTTTCCGAGCTGCCTCCGGAATTACAACTTAAGATTCTTGAAGAACTCGCCGTGCCACCTTTCCCCTCTCTCGAATGTCTCTTTGAAGACTTCCATGAACCTTGGAATTGCAGTGCTTGCAAAGATACAGAAATTGATGCTTATGGGTGGAAATTATGGCCTATCACTCTAGATCCACGTATTAGCACAGTCTGCCGGTCTTTTTATGAAGAGGGCCACAAAATGCTTTACAAGCATCATACCTTTGTTTTCCACCAAAGGCCAGAAGCTCTGCGGTCCTTCTACGATATAGGAGGAACGGCACTGGGCATTCGAGATAGACTGGCTGTTCTTCTCTTGAATTTTATCGATATCAATGATTTTTATGCGTATCGGCGAAATCCTACGCTGGGAACGAACCGCGCTCAGGGAACTCAAACCTCCCTTTCGATTCACATGCCTAACTCCATAGACAGCAGAATTCCTTTCAAGAGCCTCCAAAATCCAGCGGAGTTTCGAGCTTCCGTTCAGCATCTAGTTCTTGTTGTGCATCCGCGCGTAACTCAAGACATGTCTCCAGAAGAATCCAACGATTGGGATTGGCCACTAAAAGTGGACGTAAGTACTATATAATATTACTCTACTGCTTTGGAAACTTGCTAATTTCCTCAAAGTGGACAACACTCCCAAAGTTAAAGACTCTCTGTCTTGATCTCCGTGGAATAAACAACTACAGAAAATTTAAGGGGGGTGGGAGTTGCTTGCGAAGAATCAAAAAAGGGGCTAGCCGGATGAAGGGCCTCAACTTGGAAAAGCTTGTTATTGTTGGTCTTTGCACCGACGAGTTTTACTATAAGGAAGCTTATAAACAACGTGTAAGAAGGATATTCAGCCTGGCGCTTTCGAAAACTGGGAAACTAGAATTCAAGGATTGGAGGCGATTCGTCATATGGTAATTGTGGTAAAGGGGTCAGTGACTGCTATGGATCTCGGTACACGGTCTCTGGGGTAATGTCATGATAGACGGAGCGAGGAATGGATTTATTTCATAGAGATAGCATGATTAATGAATGGCGACTTTTGTGACTATGACTCTAGAGCTCGAATAAGTGACCTTGCTATTACTGTCCTCTGTACGTACATGTGACTCAAAGCAACGTTGTGCCAGATAGGCTCGCGAAAATAAAAAATCAAGCTAATCATAAAAGCCAACAATTCTTCATCTCACCATTGACCTAGGTACTGTAAGAAATCACGATGTCAAAGGGGTTGTAGTACGATATCTTTTCGTTGCATAAGCGTACTCATGACTGGTTCGCTTACCTCAGAATGGTCATAGGATCCAGTGATAGATAAAGCAAAGCGAGTCACGAAGTACGCGTTTTGAGTGGAAACTAAACAACCAAGCAGTGGCAAGAACATAGGTAGAATCTTTGAGTTCCCACTCAAGAGAAGTGGCAACATGCTAGCTTTGCTGTGAATAACTCACTTTCCTCAACGCCTAGGAATTACCGGAATCGTGAAGTCACAAACAACTCAATTATCCAGTATTCAAATCCTTTGAGAACCAATGTTGGAACGACAGATCGAGCGGACTCTACCTCCAGGTATTCAGTTTATCGCTCACCTTCTATGAATCTCATCCCCTTATAAGCGAGTTCTCTATCCCCTGTTTTGTCGGGGCCTACAAAAACACGCCGAGAAGAACAGACTGTGATTTTGGAAGTGACTGAAAACATGGCGCTGGCTTCTCACGTGTTTCCGTGGATCATCACGTTGGAAAATCCTTAAGGTCTGGTGGATGCTTTATGCACATGTGGTAGTAATAGCAAACAGTTGCTACCAAACACTGGAGGAACGTGATATCAACAGATTGTCACAAGACTCCTTTTAAAGGCCCCCATGACTTCTCGTGCAATCTTCAAGAGTCTGCGATAAGCCACTACAAAGAGTTGTACGAATATAAATAGAAGCGAGATCCCCTGTCTAAAAGCTTCAACCCCAACCTTCGTCAATAGGCCCAGGAAATTTAGCTGAGGTTTCTGCAGATCTTTGCAGTACGACGCGACTTTCAAGAGGAACTACACTACGTTTGAGTACTCAACAAAAAACAAGTCTATTCGCTTCTTCGGCAGGTTAAAGCAAGAAGAAATGGACACGGACGATAGGAAGGATCAAGAGCCTGGTGAGAAAGATGGAAGAATTGCAGATGCACTGGAGCTCATAGCCGTTGTCAAGTCTTCTGTGGGGGAAATAATTGGATATTTTCTTGAAGATGTCGAGCGCCGTACAAACCTTACCAAGATGCTGGAGAGTCTCGGGGTGGAGCTTGCGAGGCTTACCGAAGCACTAAGCCCAAGGGGGGCTGGTGAGGGGATTCCTGACGTTATCGACTTGACAACGGCCCGCGAGTAAATCAGAAAGATGAAAGAATTGCGGGTAAAGCTGCCTGAGAAGAACTGAAGGATTTATGGAGAATTCGACGTGTTGTGTGCCTTGAATGCTTCGGGTTTCTAGCAGCAGGTAGACTTCGCTGTCACCCACAAAACAAAGCAAAATCGAAACCTCTCCAAAGAATGTTCTGAACCTGACCACGAGAATATGTGTCCTGCTTTGATATTCAATTGAAGATTATCAGTTTAAACCCGTATACATCATAGTCTATATCCACTGCCCTTTTACACTACCTAGATATTCGTGAGAGAATTAGTGTGTGCCAAGTTTTGATATCTTGGTGTTAGGATACTTTCTACAACTGCAATGAGGAAAGAAGGGAGAATTCGGGGAAAGAAATAAACTAGCTATAGGTTTCAGGAATCTTTTATGGGTGATTGAATTTTTGGGCTCCCTCAGCCGACAAATACGACTATGGCTTGAGAGGGGCCAATTGCACGAGGGCCATGCTATAGAGTAGTAGTGGGAAAATTTGTAAAAGTAACCTCATTAGAGCTACCTGAGAGCAAGAAGACAGACTAAGAATCACTTGAGCACTCCTTTTACTGTCACCTTCGGCTTTACTACTATACTGAACTCTGACTGAGCTCTTGCCAGCTGAAAAGGATGAGTCGACAGTAAAGACAGTAAAGCCCCTATCGAAAGAAGAGAATAAATTCATGAGCGTGCCTGATGGAGGTTTGCATTTCAGCATACCATCCACCAGAGGGCATCCAGGAGAGCTCCTGAGAAGCTTAGAAGGCTTCTGATAGCCGAGCTTTCTCGAAGCTATTATTAGTTTGGCTATGTGTGATAAAGATGAACGGCAGAATGTTTCCATATGCAACTGTATATTCAGCGAGACAACCAAGCATCCGAAGCTGACGAGAGCGTCGAGAAGAGTCAATGATACCCAGTCACTTTGCGAAGGACAATAGTATTAGATTCATTCTCTCAGCTAAAAGGTACTATAGGCTGACACTAACAATGGCCCTCGGCTCTTGAGCTGGCTTCGAGAAGTGTAGCAGGCGCTTAAAAAAAGGTTACTTAGTCTTTACTTAGACAAAACGAAACTTCCGGTCCATTAATGAGCCCAGTGTATGGTACCTCCCCTCTAAAGTTCTCCCCGCCACTCCTCTCCTTCGGAATCTCCGTTCCTATCTAGATAAATTAGCAAGCTCTCCTTCCTACTCTAATCCTAACTAATTAGTACTCCTTCTCTTTACTAGGGTACCGGATAGGAAAGGGTAGGAGTACTCCTAGGGCTAGGTAATGTAGGTTTTAGTAGGTCCGTAGCTAGTAGTAGTCTTTAGTAAAACGGGTAGAAATTAGGTAGAAGTGCACGTCCTTGATCTACACCTGGGGGCAGGGTAAGGGGGTTAGTATTTCTCGGGATATTCTATACTTCCTTTACAGAGAAACTACAAGTAGCGTACTTTAACAAACTCGATACTTTAACAAACTCGATACTTTAACGAACTCGGTACTTTAACGAACCTAGCCGGCGTACTTTGACGAACTCGGTACTTTAACGAACCTGGCGTACTTGCGAACCTGGCGTACTTGCGAACCTGGCGTACTTACGAACTTAGCGTAAATTTACTTGCGAATAGCCTTATTTTCAGCTTCTCCTTCCTGCTCCTCTCTCGAATCCTACCTCTCCGTATCCACTCCTTTCTAGACTAGTAACCTATTCTCCTCTCCTTCTCCTAGCTAAAGATATAGATCTCCTGCTCCTTTCCTAGTAGCTAGGAGAGGAAAGGAGGGGAGATACTAAACACTAAATGAGCCCTTGCTATACTCAAAGTCTGTTTTCCGACAATTTTGCGTCTCTATAGATGAGCTCTTAGCTTATCTAATGGTGCTGGAATAAACATATTCTACATTCTCTAAAAGAGTTTTGGCTTAACCTCTGGGGGCGGACTCAAATGAATGACGTTAGCGGTGAGCATGGACTCGACAACTTCTAAAGAAGCGTATCATTAACACTCCTATGGTTAGCGAAGGGGCCGATTTGCGAAGGAGATCCGTAACTGCTAGGTCATTGAATACAGTTTTGACATATAAATAAACGTCTATTACGTCGCGTTTCTGTCCAAACGATAAAATGCCTGCGAGGAACTATGCTTCGATACCAAGATTAATAACACCAGCCAAAGAACACCACGATATGAGCTACCCCTTGAAAATCAATCCCGTACCTCCGTAATGATTTCTCTCGTTGAACACCTAGTAGTTGTTAACTCTAGTTGTGATAGAGCTTGTACTCCCGTTCTAGCTTAGTATATCCAAAGCTGTTACTCGTTTAGAAGAACCGCGTTTGGAAGGTAAGCTAAAGATCGAATAGTTGTACTCTAATTAGCCAAAATAGTTATACTTAGTAAAGAATAAAGTAACCTCTAGGTCTAGACGAATTCTATTTAAAGGTCTATTTATAGGCTAACAAGGAACCCTAAGATAAGATTCGCCGTTTAAAGTTTAAACTAAATTAAGTATTTAATAAAGTAAGTAACTATAAGGACACTAGAGTTATTACTTACCCCGATTCTTTTAAAATCTCTACCTACTAGGCGAATATACCTATATAAGTAACTAAAACCCGAACTTTATAGAACTTAATTAAAATCTTCTATTTTACTTAAACCTTACTCTGTTCTCTTATTCTCTTAAACTCTACATTTTATATAAAACTCTATTCTCTAGTTATATTAGTACTCTAACCTTTCTAAAACCCCTCGGTACTTAAAAAATATTCCTAGATCCCTAAGTCTAGCTTAATTCCCTCTTTAAACTAAGTATTTAGAGAAGTATTATTCTATATATAGATATTAGATAGAAATACCTACTACCTCTTTAACCCCCTTCTCTATATTCTCTAAAATCCCTATAAATTATAAACTTAAATAACGAACCCCCTCCTTTTCCTACCTAGGCATTCGCGTAACCCCCCCTAGCAAATCCCTTTTCCCAACCCCCCTAAAAAAACAAAATACCCTCTAAATATCTTAGACCTACGATCCTTCAAACTAAACCCCATTTCCTTCCTATACACTCCAAAAGAAAAAAACCCAATTCCATTCACAACTTATTCCAGATAATATAATTCTACCTACTACTATTAAATACGTACTAAAAAACAAGATTTACCCTTCAATTTTCCTTTCCTTTCAAAAAGGTCTAGAAATACCATAAAAGATTTCTAGGACTAGGAAAAGAAAGAAAGTAAGTATAGTAAACGTATTCATTGTAAAAACGCTCTCGACATCAAAGTCCGGGTATTCATCTAGAATCTAGCAAAGTGTATGTACAAAGTCTCAAAACCCCCCTAGAAACACCTCAAGGAAGCGACTTCCACCACCAAAGAAGCGCCCAAAGCAAACAGGCATGCATAATAGTATCAACAAGAAGAAGAAAATGCATCAAACTCCCCTCCCGTATCCTTAATAAACTCGCCAATTGCCATTTCCATTCCCAAGCCCAAGCCCAAGCCCAAGCCCAAAGCGCGCATTCAGTGGTAATCCGCCCAACCAACCAAAGAAACCCACGAAAACCGTCCAAATGCCTATGCTTCAAGGTATCTCAAAGCTTATATCCAGCCATCTCAACCTCCACCAACTTCTTCGCCTCATTCCAAGAATTCGACTGCGTGGTCCCCATCTTATGCATGAAAATGCGCCATCCAACACTCTGCAAACTGGCAAATGCCATCGTGTAGCCCAACTCAAAAGCATTAAGATCCTCCAATCCCTGTTGCAATTCTTCCATGACCCAAATATCCGGCCGACGGGCAGAATTAAGGTGTCCATTCAAGTAAGCGCAAGCGAAATATGGGCCGAAACGTTGGACTTTATCTTCAAAAACGCACATTCGCTCTGTAAGATCGTGATTGTCCAATTGCTCTCCTCGCTCCGCACAAACGACTTGCTCACGAGCCTTGAAATTGCCACCAAGAAGCTCGACACAGGCAATGAGGATGGCAAGGTCCGTCTCCCCAAGACGCTCCAAAAAACGGCTCTGCTCGCCGCGGATATCTGACGTACTCTCAAGTCCAACGATGCAGTCTGCGAGCTTGAAAAGTAACAACAAACCAGCTTTCTTCATGAGGACCTCACGTTGGTATAATTCCGATTTTTCGATCTCCAAGGTTGGCCAGTTTCCACCGGGGTCCATGAACATGATGTCATGGTGAGAGAGGGTTTCAACGATGATAGCGCGAGCGCGCATCTCGGAGTACCATTTGTATGTGAGTTTGTCCTCTAGGACGGAGTATGCTGAGATTGTGGCGGTGCCGATGATGGGACTTGTGGTGGAGTTTGTGTAGGTCAATGCACCGTTGTCGCTCAGGATAAGCGAGCCAACGATGGATTTCTCAAAGGTGTTGACTAGAGTGTAGAAGCCCTGAGGTGGAATGCTGATTAGTAAAGGTCTCAAAAAAAGTTTTGTGTGGTATGATAGAGTGCTTTCATAAAGAAGGAAGGCAAACAAATTGTGAGATCGGAATAAGTAACATACCTTCGAAACGAGAGACAAGGTGCGAACAGCGGTAGGCTCAAGATTGATAGCTTCCTCAATAATTCTCAAGACGATTTCTCCAGGTAACGCGATGCTATTCTTTGTCTGAACAAGCATATTGTAATTCTCAACCTTGGGGATCAAAGTAGTAATATTCTCTCCAGGGCGGAACGTAAGGATAGTTTGACGGTTGTTGATACTGAGAAGTGGGGTTTAGCCAAAAGATCAAAAAGATGTAGCAGTGTGAAAAGGAGGAGACTTACATCTCAACAAGAGTAGGCAAGGCAGGACGAAGGACACGCAATGGTCGAAAGTAGCTGCCAAACCAATCGGGCTTGATTGTAACTGCCTTTGGAGTTCCTGGGGGTGTCGCCAAACCGAACGCGAAGTCGGTGGCGCTTTCCGTCTTGGAGTTGGCAACGCAATAAGATACATCACCAGTTTGATCCATCGCAACTTCCTCAGACAGATCGGTGACCTCAGAGGGGAGAAGAGAGGGTGCGCCTTCCTCTGACATGTTTGTGGTGGTACAAGATCGGTTGGGTTGTGATTGTTTGATGGAAAGTGTTGGTCGGAAGTGTTGGTCAGTGCGAGTTGACAAGTGGTGGTGCGCCGCAAAAACTGTTTGAAAAAAAGAGATTATGTTGTTGAATGAAAACAAGGCTGCCAAAGCTGTATTTATGTCCTCAAGAGCTGCGTCGCGAATGGTGGCAGTGATAGCACCATTCGGTTGTGGGGGTGGAGACTCAAGTCGGTACCTGGATGGATACCGCGTCACTTGACAAGGTTTTTTTCTATCTACAGCAACCCTGATGGGTAATTTACTCTCAAAGAATTTCACCTTTGAAAGAAGCGAGTCACTTCTCAAAGCCTTGGGTGTTTAGCAAGAGCTTTTGGCAAGTCATTTCTTTTCATAGGTGCATGAAATTTCTGGTGGTTCCCATATTTGTGCTTGGCAGGATACTTTTGGGCTCTTGAATAGTCTGGTTATTGTATGACCTTGTTAGGTAATTTGCCGTTGAGTTGTGATGGTCAAAGAATAACAATGTGTATTCATTGTCGTTGAAGAAATCCAAACTTTTGGTTATCTACCTCCCGCTTAGGTTGATCTACAAAGTAGATCGAACTATCCGCGCCACTTCTTAATCTCAACCAGGGAACCTTGCTCTCAAAAGCTTGTCTTGTCTTATCAAACCTTAGCTACATAATCAGCAAAAACAAGGGGGGCTAAGTTGATAATCGGAGTGGCAAGTTACATTGAGATTTGGGAGACTATTTTTTCAGAACTTGTCAGTTGGAACACTTCATTTCTCTTGATTACGACGACAAGATTAGACTAAGATGTCGTGTATTTATGATTTAGCCACCTCTTATGGTAATAACAAAGAACAAAGAACTTTGTTGTAAGAAGCCATCAAATTAATCCTTTATCCAACATACTAACACCCTCCCACCATCCCTCCCTAAACAAAGCCCACAAAGACACCCACAATGAAACCCCTCTTCCAACCAGCTATCTTCTTCAATTACCTCCCCAATGTTTTGCACTCACTAACAGGCCTCTTCAATTTGAAGGTGCTGGACACTGTCACGTAAATCATATATAAACAAAGTCCATATCGTCCAGATATAATTCTCCAATCCGCTGGTTTAGCTAGAGATTAGGGTTAAGTCGTGATGTAGTTAAGGATGGTGTCCAGGTTTAACTGTTTACCCCCTTTATGTACAAAATGTAAAAAAATCAATAAAATCATCATTCCCCAACCACCCCCTTTCTCCCCCTCCCNACCCCTAACTCACCCCCCCACAACCCACAACCCACACCCCTAACAAACAATACAAAAAATTCACTAACCCAACTCGCTCGCCTACAAAATTCCCCAAATTCTCCGACTGGTTGATTTCAAACACGCCAATCACAAAGAACAAATAGAAACAAGTGGTGGTAGTAGAAAGTGAATGTATATGTAGTAGTGAGTACACATATACATCTGTAGTAAAGAGGGCAAGAGGGGTAAGTAAGAGATAAGGATCGTACAGTAAGTGAGGAGAGGAGAGGGGTTTTGATAATAAGATAATATGAGAAGGAGGGGGGAAGGGGAGGAGAAAAGGAGAAAAGGAGAAAAGGAGAGAAGGAGAGAAGGAGAGAAGGAGACAGGAGATAGGAGATAAGATGGGGAAGGGGGATGTTTTGTTTTAAGGATGTATAGTATAGTATAGTATTGTATTTTTAGTATACAGTGGCAATAAAAAGGATTTTAATATTTCACACTACCTTCTTTTCTCCTTCCAAAGAGATAAATAAACACTGATTTCAAAATACGTATTAAAGAATATAATAAATATTCCTTCCTAATAGTATATATAGTATAAATATATTATTATAACTACACTTGCAGGTAATACGGGTTAATTTACTTGTTTAATTGTATTTACTCTTCTCCTGTAACCCCTCTAGGTCTAAAGTCTTAGCACTACATGTATCATATATGATCTTCCGCGCTTATGATCTTCTGATAGGAGAACAGTGAGTATGTATATAGAAAGTCACCCTTTATTCAACTATCCAATTTGAATCTAGATCCCGTCATTGGTACCCTCTGTTTCATTCCAGTCTCCCAACTGCCATCTCACACCCAACAACTCAAGTTACCCTTCCCCCACCCCCCCTCGCAAAAAGAAAGAAGGAAGTACGACCCCACCTCACACCCAACCCCAAACCTAAAATGCACAAAGAGAATCATTTTTTTAATATTTTTTTTTAGAAAGCCGCAATCCGACTCCCCATCCGATCAAAAACCAAATCCGGCGTCACACTCCGAAGAGGATACTCCGTCGCGGGGGCCGCGAGAAGGGTACTAGTAACCGGCTGCGGGGAGAGAATACTCGGCTCCTCCTTCTCCGTCTCAGGGAGGAGCGGCTCGATGGGTTTCCCCTCCCTCCTCGGGCCCGTACGAAATCGACTGGGCAGGATTTGCTCGAAGCCCTGCGAGGCAGCGACGGCTTCGATGGACTTGAAGTATTTCACCGTCTTGACCTGCAATTCGAGGGTTGCGTCCTCGTCGACGACGATCATGGGGTGGGGGTGCAGTTGGAGACTGGAGAGCGTCCACATGTGGTTGACGCCTTCTTCGATGCACTTTTTGAGGGCGGGGGATTTGTGCGCGCCGGTGATGATGATGACTACTTCTCGGGCTTCGAGGACCGTTTGCACGCCCACGGTTAGGGCCATCTTGGGGACTTTGGCGAGGTCGTTGTCGAAGAAGCGGCTGTTGGCGATAATGGTATCGTATGCTAATGTCTTTACTCGAGTACGGGAGGCCATGGATGAACCAGGCTCGTTGAAGGCTATATGTCCATCTGGACCGATACCACCCAGAAAGAGGTCAATGCCACCGGCTGCTTTGATAGCTGCTTCGTATTGAACGCATTCGGCTTCGAGGTCTGGGGCGTTGCCGTTTAGGATGTGGATGTTGGATGGGTGGACATTGACGTGGGAGAAGAAGTGTTTGTACATGAATGTATGGTAGCTTTCGGGATGTTCCCGTGGGATGCCAATGTATTCATCCTTTGTATGCTGTTAGCTGCATGGTAGTTTATGCAAGGCTATGAGGTGATGTGGTACCATGTTGAAAGTGATAACATTTTCGAAGGATATCTCGCCCGCTTTGTATTGTTCCACGAGGATTTTGTAGATATCAACTGGACTCGACCCGGTTGGGAGTCCGAGAACAAACTTGTGTTCGCTGGTTGGTTTGAAGCTTTTGATTCTGTCTTGAAAATATTAGATATAATCATATAGACAAAGTGAACATAGGGTAGCTTACTGATGATGTAGTTGGCAATATATGATGAGGCTGAAGCCGGGTCTTCTCTAATGATGAGTCTCATTTTGTTGGGGTATCAGAGTGATGTAGAGAAATAAGAATGAGGGAACGTGTATGGTTGATTCGGTGATTCAAAATTGGATTGTTTACAGGAAAATAGAAAGAAAATAGGCAGAAAGGTGAGTTGTATAGCAAATGTATAGATTGAAAAGAGGGGAATAAAGAACTTGATAGAGGGGCAACGATAGACTTCTACCCAAGAAGCGTCATGGTGTTTCATGACTGCTCAATACTAATCGTTATCACATGTGACATTCTCTATTGGGCAATAGAAGGTTGACAGATGGCACCTGGGTAGAGTTCATGGAACGTCACCAGAAAGCGAGAACCCCATTCTCACCTGGATAACAAAGCCGCACCCGTCGCAAACCATCATCCTCGAAAGTCTATCCGTTGGAGCCGAATCCAACGTGCCACGCTTGATAGGTAGGTGCCAACGGGGTGTACGCTGATGCCTACCAACCCACTACTTGCTGTGTAGTTGGGAATATGGGTTGCGGGAGGCCCCATGGCCAAATCCCATCCCCTTGGAAGCGATGGAGGTGATCGTCGGAAACCGGGCCATACAGTGACAGCGGGGCAAGTGATAGTTGCTGGATGGGATGGTGAGGGGCTTGCGGGTATGGTATCTTTGAATTTATGAATGGGACGATGGTTTGGTATGTTGTTTGGGGTATAGGTATGCTCCAGCTGATGTTGACGCCTAAAGCATGCTGGGAATATTGAAGCATTGGCTCTGGCTGGCTGACGGTTGTTGCATGTTACATACAACAGAAAAAGCCGCACAATGGAGAGTAGCAGAACCGTTGAAATTGCCACACGAGACAGCCCTATGGTGTTGTTAGATATATGTGACAGATGGACCTGCGGAAATCATCGCGTTAGCTGGATGGTGGTACACGACTGAGGACGTGGACGTGCTCAATGTGCCAGGGGTAGGATTCAGGGATCAGAAGCTAGATGAAGCCCACCGCCACAGATCGCGCCAAGGTCCAAGTGTGGCGGGGAGAAATCGCCGGGGGAAGCAACGTTACAATGTATTTCTCGCATCCTCTTGCATCGCATCGCACACCATCCCCAACGGTCTGGTTTCAACGCATCTTCCACCCTTCCACCCTTCCACCCTTCCAACCTGCCAATGCTGGTGGATCGTATCGCACTGTAGCCACTCAGACCTCGAGGAACCACTCAATATATCCGCTGTGGCCCCCAGCATCAGGTCTTGACTTCCCAGGCCAGGGCCTTTTGTCCGTGAAAAAATGTCCGTGAAAAAATGTCCGTGTCTTGCGCCTAAAACCCAAAAGATCAGTGGAAGAAGTGCTGGTGGACGTGGTGTGGTGACGGGTAGATTTTCCTGTCGGTCTCGAATCAGCATAGGAATAGTATTTCTTATTCTATTTCGGCAACTGCATCTGCAAGAATTACTCTTTACGTTACTCGCACACATGGCCAAACCACTGTGAACGAGCATCTCCGGTCCTATCAGCAGGCCTCTCGACCGATATGGCGCAACAAGCTTTCCTGTTCATACATACCCTACATTGCCTCATACTTGTGTCCTCATATCCTTATACCCCCTTGGGACCTGACCTGACCTGACCTGGCCCTACCGTACCAACTTACCACCTACCGACCTACCTGAAGGACATGGGACACTCCTAAATCTGCAAGCACCACTTTTCCTACTACCTGCTACCTACTTCGTACCTTTTTCTTGCATGTTACTTCACTCTCAATCCTCCGCCAACCCAGGTCCAATTATATCTCTGATCGCACCTCGTACTGTCCTCTTCCCTCCCATCCCATCCCAACCACAACCACAACCTTCCTACCCCCAAAACTAATTCCCCCTTTTGTCTGACATACATACTTTCTTCTGGTCCCGTCACTCGTTCCATTTTGATTCCCACGAAACCTTCCACCCAAATCCGCCATCAATTCACTCATCCATGTCCCTCAATCTGGCGATGGCTTAGATCAGAGTATGGAGAACGCAACCTTCCGCTGATCAGCACTACATCACTTAGCCGTACCGCATAGTGCCGCAAACTACAAGAACCTCTACATGTACCGGTGATTGTGGGAATGCAGCCACTCATTTCTGCAATGTACAAGGTACGCCAGGCTTTCATTGCTGCCATCGTCAGAAGTTTGCTGAGAACCAAGTCTGTTCTCCAAACCATACTCAACATCTGGATCTCACCTACAATCCTCAAGGGCGAACATGTCGACAGAAATGGCGGTCAGAGGGAAGGGAAGATGTATTCCGAGTTTTTGAGGGAGGTCGAACGGGAATTTAAATCCTCCAGAGAGACATCGAGTTTGGTAGCTTTGTCTGACGGTCTGAGGTTGCAATTTGGAGAAAGTTTATTGGACAATCCAATGAATATGTTACCGTCGTACAACCATCAACTTCCTACTGGTGATGAACGAGGAACTTTTCTTGCTTTGGATGTGGGAGGTTCAACCTTCAGGATTTCTCTCATAGAACTTTCAGGCCAGAAACGTGAAGGCTTTGAAACGTCAATTTTGAAGCTGGATTCATACAAGATTACCCAGGATGTTAAGAAACTCAAGGGCGTTTTGTTCTTCGATTGGATGGCTGAGCGAATGGGAGAAACTTTGGCAGGGCAAAATGAAGGTCACGACATGTCCAAGCCTCCATTATCTATGGGGATGTCTTGGTCATTTCCAATTGAGTGAGTGCCATTTCCTTTTTAAGTGGTTTTTTGGAATCGGTCAGCTGACAATATATTAGGCAAACCTCTCTTCGAAGTGGTCTACTTTTAGGTATGGGCAAGGGCTTTTTGGCCGCTCATGGGCTCATAGGGCAAGATCTTGGAGATATTATTCAGGAATCATGTTCGAGAAAGGGTCTCAACGTACGGTTGAATGCCATTGTCAATGATTCTTCCGCGACGCTGCTTTCCAAAGCATATTTGGACCAGACGACTCGTTTTGCCCTCATTCTTGGCACTGGCGTGAATGCTGCAGTCCATCTTCCCGTCCACATATTCTCCTCTCCCAAATTTGGGGAACGACCTGCAAGTTGGCATGAAGAAGCCAAGCATGTCATTGTCAACACCGAACTATCCATGTTTGGCGGTGGTATCTTGCCGTACACTAGATGGGACAGAGAGTTATTATCCGTCCATCCAAGACCCGAGTTCCAACCACTAGAACATTTCGTCAGTGGAGGTTATCTCGGAGAGATCGTTCGTTTGGTTCTGATTGAAGGTATACAAACCGCCGGCCTATTAGGCGGTGTCATACCACCAGGCCTGGAAAAAGAATACTCTCTCGAGACCGAGACCCTCTCGCTTATGGAGTGGTAAGTCATCCATCTGTCGTATCACCATACCACAACACACAACTAACTAACCTACCTCCCATAGCGATCCAAGTCCCACCCTCACCAAGGCCCTTGAAGTTTTCCTCTCCCGCCACCCAACCACCCATACCCCCTCCCACGCCGATCTCCAAGCCATCCGCCTCATCGCCTCCCAAGTTGCCTATCGCGCCAGCGGCGTCCTGGCCGCGGGTACCCATGGCTTGTGGCAGCTTCGCAATGAAGCCGAGGGGATCTCGCCGAGCGACTCGTCGCACACGCTGGTTGCGTACAACGGATCCGTCTTGGAGAATTATCCTAACTTCCGGAGTTCGTGTCAGCGACAGCTGGATTCGCTGGTTGAGGCGTCGGGGGGCGAGAGGGGAAGTGTCGAGTTGGTGTATGCGGAGGAGAGTAGTCTGCTTGGGGCAGCGGTGGCGGTTGCTTGTGTTGGTGGTTAGGGTAGTTTTGGGGTTAGGGGAGGGATGTGGTCATTGGATATAGCATAATCTCACACTACTCAAGGTATTGTGAGATGTTGAGTGCAGTGCATAGCAGCATTTTTTTTTCTCTTCTTTTTTTTTGGCGTTGGAGATTACTCCCTTTTTGCATATAATGAAGACCCTTTGATGATTTGGCATGGCCATTGGATGGCTTCATTCTCTTTTTACATCTAGGTACTGTACATCATATCATACTTATTCACATCCATATCTATATCTATCATATATATCCATACACACCTACTAAAGAATTCCACTTACTGTACCTTTTCGCTTCCATGATTCGTCCATCTCAGGTTAGACTGTGTTATACCTATGCCGATACCTCCGTATACAATCTTTTTTTTCTCTATGTTTTCGAAGTTTCGTTTCTTCTGTTTTGCGGGTTTGGAATTTGTACTTGCTTACTTGTTTACTGTATAATACGGTATGGTAGAGTAGGTACAAGGAGATGTGGAACGTAGGAGTAGGAGTAGGAGTGGTGGGTGCATTGATCATCTTTAAGATGTGGTCTGAAGTACGGAGCTATGAAGGGATGGATGGGGACGGGATGAGATGAACGGATGGGGAGGTGAGTGAAGTTTGAAGATTGAAAAGATTGGATGGATGATAGGTAGGGGTCAGGTAGGTAGAGGTGATTGGTGATAGAAGTTTGAAGCTTGGAAAGTTCGGATGGGATACTATCGGGAGCTTGGGCTGGCCTGGAGCTTGGGCTTTGCGGGGTGGTACGGATGCGAGCTTGATGTGGGCTTGGGCTTGGGTAAGAATAGAACGGCACCGAGGGTTAGGGTCCACGTCTTCGTAAATTCATCGAGGGAAGATGACTGCAACTGCTAAGGAAGAAGCGACTTTGTTTAGTGGGATTGAATTATTGGATTTTCTGCTTGTATAGAATATCTAGGTTGATGGCCAGGTCCAGAGGAGAAGAATCTTGGGGGTTGTAATATTAAGTATAGGGTGTTTCCATGCTCGTGGGGGTACCTGAAATCAATAATCCCGGCTCTTTTATCTCCCCGAAGAGTGCTAATCAAGCCCCAAGCCCAATGCCAATGCCAATGCTCCTTCCCATCCGCATCCCCATCCACCACCCATGCCATGCATGAAAACAAGCTGGAAGGCTCATGAACCGCCAAAGAGCTCTTCGAAGGGTACAAACCTGCCAGCTCCAACTCTTGCCGCCCAAGATATCTATTACTACCAAAGCAGTCGGATAATCTCACTTATCTTTAACACAATCCAGTCTCTCGTTGCCCCTTTTCAGTTCATTGGGGTTATTCTTTGGCAACTGCGCCTTCTGCCTCTGCCCTCGCGATCGCTTCCCTCCGCAAGCGACTTACAGCATCTGGACCTAGGCCTCTTATCTGCACGACTTCAATGAGCAGCCTCTTACTCGTACAGCCTCCCTCACCCATATTATCTCACACCGTATACTTTACTTTGATACCATAAACACACGTCCAAATTCATAGATCCAGCCAGCGCATCGCATCAAACTCGAAAATCCGATGATGCGCCTGCGCTTGCAACCCTACCCATAGAAACCGAAGCCGAAGCTACTGTACACCCCTCCACCTTCAACAGTACCTATCCATCTCGAGTCCAGGTCGCGAGCCACAGATACGGGCATGCTATGTCGGGCTATGATCACTTGCCCTTGGCTTCGCCCTCCTCAAATACCAAGTCCAACTCCAACAATATCATGCCATTGACCAACTTCCTGCCGCAATCGCAGATAGGGTCAATGGATGCTTTTGACCATGATCTGAATTTCGATGGGGGGAATATGTTGTATGTACACTTTAGCCAATCAAGCTACCTACCTATTGCTCTGCCAGTCTTATTCCCGCATTTTTTCCAGTATATATAGTCTTACAGTATACTGATTTTCGGATAGCGGTCACAATAGAGACGACCTGACTTCCAATATCCCACCTATCCCCTTTACACCTTCCTACGAAAACTCCGACGGCTTTTCAAGTACCTTCGAAGATCCATTCTCCTACCCATCTGCGCCCTTCGATACCCTCCTCGAGCAAAGTAATAATAATAGTCATAATAATAGTAATAATAACAATGGCCAGCCAGGCGAGACCTTTTTACAGGCGCTCGACAATAAACTTCTGGGGTTCAGTGCGCCGATCATCAAAGCTCCCATACTCAACGATTGCGGTCAAACCTGGCCTCAGATGTCAGCAGAACTATATGGCATGTTTTTTGTGGCAGAAGATGTTTTTGAGGGCGAGCCGACAGGAAGGCCAACGGAGTTGACATGTTATCGGCGCAATTTGTTCCAAATTTCTGGAACTATAGCTTTATCGAGGAACATATCGCATATACTCAACGAGCAGGGACAACAGATTCCGATTTATGAGCTGACGGCCACCCTTTCTGCGCGAGAGAGTATCGAGGGAAAGAGTACGGAAATTATTTCAGTACCTTGGAAAACCGCTGCCGGCGCATCGAGTGAGGCTAAAGCTGGTGGAGCTCCTCCACATTGGCCTTTGAATTTGAGCATAAATCCCGAGTTGGATCCTAGTGCAGTGTCGATTCCAATTGCTTGGAAGAGACTTCAGTTCAAACATGCGACGGCGAACAATGGAAGGAGGAAGGGATTACAACAACATTATGTGATTCAGATCAACTTGATCGCAACAATTCCTACAGGAGAAACCATAAAACTGGCCGAGATTCAGAGTGGTCCAATTATCGTTCGAGGACGGAGCCCCAGGAATTTTGATAGTAGGAAGGATGTACCACTAAGTGAGAAGAAATCAGATGCGAAACAAAGGACTACGAGTGATTTGGGACAGACGCCCCAAGTGAAGGTCGATCCTGGGGCTACGAATAACTCATATCGACATTATGCTTTGAATCAATTACAGGTTTGTCTCACCTCAGTGTTAACTCACTATTGAGAAAAGCATATTGACCAGTTTTAGCAACCATTGGATCTTCCCGAATGGCCCAACTCAAGTCCCTCCCAACCCTCTCCCTCGAGTCCGGAATCCAACAGACCCCTCAAAAAAGCAACTGTAAGCTCCAGTTCAGGCACTCGACCACCCGTGCCACGATGGAATGATCCCAAAGGTAAAAAGAAAAGGACACAAGTGGCTCCTGTGGATCTCTCGCTTGCAGATGAGGATCCCGGACGAAATGGGAATTCGGGGTCGGGTGAGAGATTTAGTGCTGGGGAAAGAAGTCCGGACGTGAGGAAGAAGAACAGTACGACGCATTTGGGGAGTCCGTTTGAGGATGCGGATTTGCTTTATGAGTATTTTCCTTTGACGGTTGATGATTGGTGAGTTCTTGATTTCATACTTGTGGCAATGTGGGGTGTTTTCAAAGAAGGCATCAAAATGCGGGTGGCTCATTTGCTGATTATACAGGATGCCGCCGGTGGATGCTATCTATCGACCTCATGTCGTGCATCATATCCATCCTCCTGCTATGATGGCGCAGCAGGTCAAAGTCAATCCCAAGAGGTATTTCTCGGCAGAGGATTGAGGGGAAATGGACTTTTTGAAGTATAACATCAAATGAGGTCAGGGTTCTACGGGATACATTACTTGATGAATGCCTCGCTCAAGAGTGGAATGGAGCACTTGACGCTTATAGAGAGCTTGGAGTATGTATGTTGAAGAACACCGTACTGTACTACTGTGAAGTGTAAGAGCGATGGAGACGCAGGATGGTGGATACAGCGCGGTGATTTGCTGTAAGACGTCTTTGGGAGGCAGCTATGTAGCGTGGAGAAGCGAAGTGAAGTAAGTGACGTGAGGATGGATGTCTTGTGTTATGTTGTGAGTACGAGTACGATACGTTCTTGTTCAGCGGGGTGAAGGTCATAGACATGGTCTATGGTGTCTGAGGGTCCGACCGGCAATTATACCAAGTTAGCTAAGATCAGAGGATAAGTGAGTGAGTGAGTGAGTGAGTGAGTGAGTGAGTGAGTGAGTGAGTGAGTGAGTGAGTGAGTGAGTGAGTGAGTGAGTGGGTAGGTGGGTGGGCACTGTATGTTTAGATGGATAGGTAGTTATTATGATGATCACCGTGCTTGTTAGGTACCTTTCCATATACCTGGGTATAAATGAGATTTTAGATGATTCCATAATAAGCTTAAGGGGTTGTGTTATAAGGGTATATAGGAGAGAGTAGATAAGAGAGAATAAATAAGTATAACTCTACTCTTCCCTTTTAATTAGGTCCGAGATATCTACCTAGTAGTATATTTAGGGCCTGTTTGGCTCGCATAAGTCAGGCGTGCATATTAGATGCAAATTCTAAACTTTACCACTTTTTCCATGACCCCAAGACCCCGTGCATATCTTTCTGGTTTTATATACAATTTGTACTAATCTAACGAAACAAATGCACTATTATTTGGCTCGTCGCATAAGTTTTTTTGTTTCGTCACATATCCAGGTATCCTTCGATTTTGCGCTATACAACCTCTTACCCCCCCTTCTTCACC